AAGCGTTCGGTGCTTTGGGAGAATCCAAATCCAAAATTGGCGTTTCTTTAATTCAAGCCAAAAATGAATTTTCAATCTAAATAACTCACACTCCGACTGGATTATTTTCGCGGATATAACCGAAAAAAGTACACCCGCGATCGACTAAAACAATTGTCAAGACACAACTCTTTCTCAAACAATTTGCGCCCGTCCCCCCTCCCGTCCATTCAAACATTGGGTTCTTTCAGTTGTTTCTAGCAGGTAGTTCGAAAAGGGGCATGACATGGGAGACGGGGAAAACTTTATTTTTCCCTTCTTAGGAAGGCGGAAAAACGAGAGAAAGCTAGCCGGTCTCAACTGATATTGTCACTGTGATCGGTGATACTTAACAAAAAAATATATAACTTGAGTTCAAAACTCTAATCTTGGATTCTCCTGAAGAAACGCACTCTCTTGAACTCCCTTGTGAAGGTAGCGTGGGGTTTTATCACAAGACGTCAGCTTCAAAATTTCATGTTTTACACCTGCGACCTGATCATGAGTGTTTTTCACGCGACAAACTGGCTAAGGCAATGGGCCCGCAACGTTCCCTTCCCCCTCCCTCTGTCTACCCCCCCCCCACCCCTTCCCCTCATCAGCCCAGGAGATTACTTAAGCAATAGACCACACTTTCTATGGGTTTACCGGCGTGATAACCCACTTGGGACTCGAAAAGCTTGTAAATCACTCGCCTTCGGCTCGTGATTTACAAGCTTTTCTCGTGTTCTCCCATCGTCCCAAGTGGGTTATCACGCCGGTAAACCCATAGAAAGTGTGGTCTATTGCTTTTATAAAATAACTTTTAGTAGAATGGAGTATTTTGGGAAAAAATATGGTGCTAGTACCGTGATCAAGTCACGTCTTCTCTCTAAAGTCATCATAAGCTAATCATGACTCACGATTTAATAGCGTTGAACTTTCTCAAAACTCAGTTCAGTCAAACAACAAACAGCAGCACTTCAAAACACGAGTTTTTGCACTCATTACATGATAACTTATGAAAGCTGTTTTACAGGAAAAGTCAACACATATTCATGCGAACGTACAATGAAATAATACGTTCATGGTTTGTTTACTACAGAAGTAGAAATTAATTGAACATCAGACTGTACGCAGCTGTATTTTGTTGAGTCGATCCGTAAGAATTTCGTTGTTACAGACGGAACTGGCAGCTATTGTAACAGAGGACTTCATTCACTTTTAACAAGCCGCAGTGGTTTAAGATCTGTTTTCTGGACTTATTATGATCAAGAAATGCTGCGGTAACGACGTGGCTGCATTTGCGAAGTTGTCGCATGTAACTTTATATGCACGTACAGCGACCGATGGAAATATGTCAGTGGTGGAGAAAGGTTTCTTTGCCGTAGGCACATATTGGCGTTAATATTTGTCGATTCGTGAAGTGAGGTGGTTTGAGGTAGGTTATGGCATCGATATCACCGAATAATTTGTGCAAATGTTGGAAAAAACCAGCCCGAAACTCTGAAATCTTTCATCATCGCTGGTAGCTTGTACAACTTACAGCGGCCGATTTTGTACCATATCTTGATCAGAGATCTCTTTTTAGAACAATTTCTTTCATTAAGAAATTTAAGTTTGAGATAAAATAAGTCAAGAATGCTAAAACTATCCGTTTTGTTGCTTGTTGGCACATGGTTAAGTTTTCCTAGAGACTTTCTACACCAGAAATTCACACAGTTGTTGTCTTTCTCTGCGATTTGGCATCGTCGTGAAATGTAAACTGTTTTCCAGCTTTGTACTTTATAACTTCTATTAAGCTATGGCAGTAGCGAATTGTGACGCTCAGTAATAAAATGTGGAAACCAACGCTTTTAATATTAAGAAGGACTGGGTAACTAACTTGTTCTGTTTATAGCCTTTCTAAATCGTTGTTTGCAGATCAATAGCCGGTTTTGTTTATGGCTTGTGAGCCGGATGCCTTTTTCTATGGGTTTACCGGAAAAATAAACCATAGGTTTTTGACCAATCAGATCACGCGTACTATCTCAGTTATTTTATAAAGCCCAATCAACGTTAACAACGAAACCGAAACACCTAAGAGTTCGTAGGAACTCTTGCAGCTGTGAGTGTTTAAGCGTTCCCGGATGGAAGAGAGGAGAAAACTTGGACATGTATCGAAAGAAAAATCTGAAACCACAAAAATCTACTATATATGTAATAGTATCGCCACCAGAATACGAACTCGTGTCACTGGCATTATTTTTATTGGCCTCTGGGTCGAGGTATAAAAATTGCTATCATCACTGCGCCTACCCTTGCTTTCCCGTAGCTTATTTGTTTGCAAAGTGGCTATTTTTCATAACTATTTGCATTGTATAATCCACATTTTGTTTAATAATTTTAATGATAGTAGCAAAACATTATTAACTGGACTGGCAATAACCGTTTTAATTTTAGGTGACACGGCGCAATGAAGTAAACTGCGATTAATTACACCGGATCATCTGCAACAGTTTATTGCGATGTGCTGAAACGTCACATCTTTTATTCCTTTAATAACACGGAGGCGAAATTAACTTCAATTTCTACCTCCTATGTTCATATATAAGCAACTAATCTATAACTGAACAGCTGCTGAGTAAGTGAAATGTATATATATCATGCTGTTAGGTTTAAGACATCCTGTTTTTGGACTAATCAGTTCTTTATTGCGCGCAAACAAAGACAAAGTTATCCGCGGAATAGATTTCGGAAAGCCATTTCAAAGGTATTTTATAAATATTTTATTCTATGTAGCTGCTTAAAAATAGAGGACAGTGATGACTGCTTCATTTTCTCTTTAAATCTATACTTGTCTTTCAAAATAGATTAGAAAGAAACTGCTTAGGAAACGCTAACATTACAAAGGGGTATGTTTAGCAGGGGGAAGAATGGTCTTTGCGAACATTCGCGAGCATGCGAGCACCGCGATTTTTTTGCGAGCACGCCGGGCAGAGATAAAAAATTTGCTTTGCGAGCAGCGAGCAGTTTAGAGAGTACAACTCGCGAGTAGCCGAAACTTCTTACATTTTCCGCTACCAGCAATCCATATCGAAATCCTTTTCTTTAAAACAAAACAGAAAATATTTTAAAACGGGACATGACTGATGTACATAAAGAAGAACTTGAAGAGGAACAAGATCCTCGTGTCAGAACAACCTCTTCTGGAAGAATCCTAATCTTCCAAACCGTATTTATTGAAAACACGGCCTAATTAAAGCCCAGTGAGTAGAGCCGGTAGAAGCTGGTCGAGAAACTCAGAAGAACTAAAAGTAACAAATCTTCTAAAATTTCCGGACTCGAATATTTGTTAGAAATACGAATCGGAAAAATTATCACCTCAAAAAACTTAAGATTGCATCTAAAATTTTCTGGTAAATAGTAATGATGCCGTAATAATTGGAGAAGGCTCAAACTCGAGCTAAAACTTAGTTTTGACCGAATATACTTTTCAAACCTAACACGGCAGAATTGCATTTTGACTTCACTTTCGATGGATAGTCTTTGTAATGTGCTAAGTGAGCCAATAACAACTTTCTCTTTCTGACACCTGTCAGAAATGACTGTCACATTGCTTGTCTTGCATTTGTTTCTGGTTCCACCAAACAGGAACCCAAAGCTTCGCGCGAGTCGATGGAAAAAACTCAGTCTGTAATTTACAATATCACACCTCAGTTCGGCTAATATAAAGTATGTATGTATTATCAAAGTGTCTGTAAATGATCACCAGCTAAGGCTTCGCTGCAAGGGGCTGTCAACATGAAGGGAGGAGGATCTGTACCACCAAGAAGATCCTAGAAGGTGGATCATCCTTATTCCCATCTGTTTTCACCTGTATAGAGTTTACATGCAAAAGGTTGTAAAGTCCCTAGCGCTAAGAACCTTCCTTCTATAACAGGATCTTCCTAGCTGAGAGGTAGAGAGATCCGAGCACAACAAAGATCCTAGCTCCATGGGAAAGCTGCTTTGGAAGAAAGATCCTGCTACAAGGAACAAACCCGATACAAAATGGCGGCGTGTCGTTCGGTGGGCAAACACAGCATTAAAGGCCGTTTCTGCCTATAAAACGTAAGTTGTAAAGAACTGCCAACTGCTGCTGAAAGGTACAGTTAACGCTAGTAAAGAGAGCAGAGGGGCCAAAATTGGATGTTTGTTATTGTCGCTCGCCATCTTAAATTTCTTCTCTAATTGGTAACCATAAGCTAAGGACTGAAATTTCTACGACTCTACTACATGTGAACCCAACGAAGTTGTCCGCCTTATAGAATCTTCCTGGTGTTAGGATCTTCTTCCTCTATGTAAACAGCCCCAAGTCACTTAATGCGCGACAGAACGATTCTGCGTTTTTCTTATCTCTAGATTTGCGTCCACGGGTAGATATCTCCTTCTCTTTTTAACGAAAGGGTTAATCAATACTTGTCACTTGAGCGAAATGTTTCTTCTGAATTTTAACACCAACTATAGTTTATGCCTCTCCGTCTTTTTTTTCCCTTGGAATAAATGTATATACTATCGTGTCGTGGTTTTCTTTCCCTTTTCTCGGATGCTTGATTATTTATTGATATCTGTCCATTATTTTATTTCATTTTTTAGTTATTTTACATTCATAATATATTCCTTTTTCTGCTTTGGAAGTAATCTTATTCTTTCGTTTGTACTTCAACCTGCATTAAAAATACAGCACGTGCATTGTCTTAGTTTTACTTATCACTCTGAGAGAAAAATAGGATTTTTCAACAGAATACCCACCGTCCAGAATCGGAATCAGTTTTTTTAATGCTGCAATAATCAAGACGCTGCAATAGGTTTGCAAGAGTTAACACAATTTTAATTCTCTTTACAGCCCACTGCTGCTGATGTAAAAAAATTCCTGATAAAGGAAACGTCAGTTGCCAGACTTTTAAACCCAGTTGAAGCTTCGAAACAAACATTTGGTGAAAAACTGTATTCCAGTAGGAATCACTTCAAAGCCGCTAATTATGAGCTCCAACAGTTCTTCGAAAACTCAGGAAGACTTGAAGCAAATCATCCAGGTTTATCTTGGTTCGTGCATCGCATCAGGAGTTTTTCTTGTTGTAATAACTTTAGTTACAGCCCTGGGGAATGGCCTTCTACTGTTCGCTATCTGGAAGGATCCGTTTAAAACTTTCCGTACACCAAATATTTTTTTTGTAATTGGCTTAGCTGTTGCTGACTTTCTCACCGGTATTACGGTATGTCCGTTAACCGCTTTTCAGGACATTGGTCTTTACATTAGCGTAAAAAGGCGAGATTCATCGATTATTCCATCAGTTCAAAAAGCAGGACATGTTGCTCATATCATTTCCGCAGCTACAATGAACAGCTCTTACATAATTCTGCTGTTGTTTACTTTGAGTCAATTTATAGCGATAAACTTCCCCTTCAAGCAGAAAGTGCTTGTTACGAAGAGTCGAGTTATAGTAAGTGTGATCTTAGCTTGGGTTTACGCCGTTATGTTTGCCATTTTATCGGCAAGCGGAGTGGCAGAAACGGCCTTCCTAAAAATGGACTTGTACTTCCACACGACTGGAAGTCTTTTGTTACTGACAATAGGATACTTTTGTTTATACAGAGCATTCAAATCCCAGATGAAGCAGCTGCAGTTTTTGAAAGCCAACGAAACTTTAGGTAAACAACAAAGTATTCAGAGTAGACGCAACAGGAGAGAGAGACAATTTACTATCGTCAATCTTTTACTGCTTACATTTGTTCTCTCTTGCACCCTCCCTGTAACAGTCTTTTTCTACTTGCAGTATCACTGGAAGGATCTAACAAGGCTTGAATTATTAAGGCTTCACCTTGCAGGTTTGTTCTCCATTGATGTGTTGTTCCTTAAGTTTGCTCTTGATCCTCTCATCTACGCTTGGCGGCTGGCGCAATATAGAAGAGCATTGAAGTCTTTCCTTGTCTGTAGACGGCAGAGAATTCACATCGACGGGGTGATTTCTCTTTCACTAGACAATCGTACGTTGGCATCTCCCCGGATGAGGGTGAGATTTAGCAGAGGTGGTGTGGAATTGGCCAGGGTTTGACGTTGATATTAGTTAAAGCACCCAAATGGCATCGCGGAAGGCACCATGTATCAGTTAAAGACGATGGATCATTGGATCAGCAGGACAAATGTAGCGGAAAAATCTAACAAAATCATGTGAATACTAGTCGAACAATAAATGGTAGTGCGAAGTATTGTCACTTGTCAGGGGCGAGCCGATCAGTTTATTCCTGATGCCGAAGACACACGAATAATTGATCTGTGAAACGAGTTCATTCATTTCCTGGAGAAAATGTTTCCGAAAAAATCGGGCCAAACTGTGCATGCAGAAAGCATTCTCTGCAGCGAAACATGATAATTATGCCTTTGGTATGTTTGTTAGTGACATCTTGGACACAAGAGCAGATTTAGGTAAATACATGTGAGATACATACAAGTCTTCCCTTATTGCGCATGAGCAAACCATTGTCCCTCCGTAGGTAAATTTTGGCAGTGACGTTATTAACTCTACATCAATCAAAACAGAGGGGAAAAATTGAATGGTATATCCACTCCTCTCTACACAACTTTCACTCCAATCTTAGTTTTTCCTTGCCTAGTCCCTAGGCCTCAATTATTCCACGCGGCCAATTCGTTTCGGGTCACGTGGTCCAAGCGAAGAAGTTGAGTTTCCCGCTCCTTTGCCTCGATGAAATAGTCATTATCAAAGGTGACAATGGCCTTCCCGGCAGCTTGCACGAGTCACTGAGACCCATCAGAGCGCCGATGGCCACGTACGCACAGTAAAGTTAGCCATTGCCGCAGGACGCTGGAAAAGAAAGGCAGACGCGTAGAGCCCCTTAAGTTCCTTGAATGCCCTGCGCAGAAGCTGGTACTACTGCAAGAAGCCTTTGACACCTGAGGCAGACTGGTACCAAGTCGCTATTTATGTGTTCTGGGGGTGAGAGAAGATTGGGGGTTAGGTTGAGGCGCGCGCGGGGTCTCTTGGCAAGGAACGAAGGGAAAATAGCGCTATTTTTCCTTCGTTCCTTCCCATGGGACCCCGCGCGCGCCTCAACCTAACCCCCAATCTTCTCTCACCTCCAAATAACATAAATAGCGACTGGGTACCAGTCTGGACCTGAGGTTCATCCAAGTGGTTAACGGTGTTGGTTCATCCCCGTCGAGGAGCCACGAACATTATTAACATTAATAGTGTACCTGCCATTTAGTTCTTAAAGCGTATAGAACATTTTAGATTGACTTTCTTGTTTTGATCTTTGGTTTTACTATTTTTAATTAGTTTGTCATTTTGTTTATGTGAAATGTAAACATTTCAGGGGAGCCATGTTACGGCTGACACACCTTATCCAGAATATTGTTTAGATATTTATTTAATTCGTTTGGTTAGCCGCAATTGTTCAAGGCACAATGACGTTATTGACTTCACCAGAAACGTGTTCGATTTATAATCCCGCCCTTTACCGCTTTAGTTGGCTTTGGTTAGACACGAGATAAGTCGTAGTAGAGAGTTCCTTATATGGCCTTATATTTTTGGAGTCGTTTTGATCTAGCGTTACAAGCGGGACTGTTATGTAAGTTATGAGTTTTCTTTCTTTATTGTACTTACCCTATTTAGTGATCTTCGTAGTTTTGGCTAAAGGTTTTTACTTTAATTTCTACTAACGTTCTCACCATGTGATAAACTTAAGTCTACCCTGGGTGCCAGAGACTTTTCTAGCGCGGTTTCCGGTTTCTGTCAAGTCTTTATAGTGACCCGCGCGAAAAGCGCGGGTTTTTCTCGCGGCTTCGCCGCTAGTGGCTTCTGCCGTAGGCCGAAGACGTGTCGGCCTTTGGCCAACACCGAAAATTCCCGCCGCACGCGAGAAAAACCTCTGGTACCCAGGGTAACTTAAGTCATGATCGACCACGCTATTTGGAAACGTTGAAAGTTATGTTAGTTTTCTCGTTTTAACTTAGCGCACATTAGCCTTTTCTAGACTTAGTTTTTGCGATTTGATCTACGTTTGGTCTACTCTTGTGGACACGGGATAGTTTCACATTATATCTAATTGTTTTGTCTTGCCACTAGAAAATATTTGTAGCGATAAATCGTGATTAGTTCACCTTTATGTCTTGCTAGTCCTGTTAAATGAGATTTCTTTAATTTTGTTGATTTATCAGTTAGTTCTTAGTAGAATCCACAATTTTGCAATGGAATGATCGGAATGTCAGCTATGTACGCCCGCCATTTAGCTTTGCTTTGCTTGTATTTGTTTCATTTTACGATACAATCTTGGATTATTCGTCGAATAAACTCAATTCAAGTGATTGTCCGTAAAATATATCCCGGTTTGGTTGTCGTATCTGAAGCGAGTAAGTCGTCGTAGACGCTTTGGGTGTCAACCATTTACACCTAATTTTTTTCCTTTTGAAACGATGCGAAATAAAAATGACTTCCCATGACTTTTTGTGTCTGCTTTCTATCTGCTTCTGGAGCCAATGAAAAGCCTTTTAGACGAGTTTTGCATTTTGGGTTGTACAGTCGAACCTCCCTGTGCGACCAACTCTCGTAAGCGACCACCTCCCCTAAGCGACCACCTATCCAACACCAAAATTTTCCCAGTTTATCCGTATTCGTGTGGACTCCGTGTGGACGGGACTTCAGATACTTCAAGGGAATCCAAGACAGTCTTGGATTCTGGATTGCATACCTTGGATTCTGGATTCCAGGGACTAGATTGCAATCTTTGTCAGTAGAACTTGGATTCCGGATTCCTTGAGCTGTATTCCGGATTCCAAAGCCCAGGAATACAGATTTTCCTCGATTTCGGATTTCCTAGATTCCGGATGCGGATTCCCATAAGGTGATGTTACACGAGACGATTCGCAACGACGATTCTTAGCACAACACAGCGTTGCAACATTGTTGCGACATTGTTTTGAATAGTTACAACACTGTTCCAACATTGCATCGCTGTGTTGCGCTAAAAATCGACGTTGCGAATCGTCTCGTGCAACATCACCTTTACGTGGGCGACTCAACGCCTCCTTGTACAAAATGAACTAACGGATGATCGGGTAATCGATACATCCGATGACTTACTTCTACAAAGCAGGTGAGCAAATGAAACAAAAAATATCATTTTCGATCTTTTTTATTACGCAGAGGCCACAAATAAATTATTAATACGGTCAAAATAATATCGATTAAATAGTAAAAATGAACTTAAAAAGTCACTGACTAGTCTAAAAGAGAAAAAAAAAACGGCCTAAAACGAATACAAAAATAACAAAAACAAATTCAGAACTGAGACGTTTCCAACCAAAAATCTTAGAGGTTACAAAAACATTGTACTGCCAAGGGCGGTTTAAGTTGGGTGTTGCAAAGTATAAAACTAAGTTCAAATTAGTTGGCAATTTCTGTAATCAAACCGAAAAATCATAAGACGAAACATCAAAGAAAAAAAACTCCAAAAAGCAGACTACCACAAGCGTGCTTTTTTTGCTAATGATTTTTCTCAAGATGTTTCAAGTCTGTAGCCGGTAATCCCCGAGTCTTAAGGAATTATTACTTAGGCCTTTACCTTACTTATTTTCCTTACAAGTTAATTCTCTTTATTTGTACCCGAAGTCGAGAATATAAATGAGAGAATGTTGATATTTATAAGCTACAAGGTGATTCACCAAAGTAATAAGCCATCCAAATATCACGTCTGTGACACTAACAAAAAAGGCTTAAACAATAAGTTTCAAGAAAGCTTTCGACTAAATTGGTGACACTAGCCAACAAAAAACATTTAAATCCTCAAATCGTGGACTTGGGACCAAGTACAATAAGTGTTCTTAAGAGAACCTTAAAAATTCTCAACTTGTGGATACAGGCACAAATATAATAATACTGTATTACGTTAAAAAGAAACCAGTGGTTAAAACAAAGAGTTTACTCAATAAATAGGCTCACCGGCTAATGGTACTAAAAATAATAAAGGATACAAATTATTATGAGTTCTAAAATTACTACTATTATTACTGTGTGTGGTATCATTTAACTGCAACTATCAAAACTTTTCTGTCATTGAAGTTTCAACAAAAGGACTCTAGTGGCAGTTGTAGCAATGCAATGCCATCAACTAAATTATAAATTCAGATTTCAATTTACCACAGAAAGCAGCATTATTTTAGCCTACAGTATTTACCATTCATAACACTTATTGCCACTTATTATTCTATCACAAAAATGAATGGAAAATTAATGTGTTAAATGCCTAGAGTTGAATGCTATGTAGATATAAATCCTGCCCCACTTATAATATGTACAATAAATACTGCACACCTTAATTGTATGACATTATAATAAACCACGTTTCTAATCTTTTTTGTTTCTCCCAAGCAATATCATACACGCTTCACGTTACACAGCAGACATCTCATTTAACTGTCTGACAGACGATTCCCATGGTTATAATGTATGACCTGAGTAAAGTATTTCCACACCCTACCCTGGTGTGGAAAAAGGATAAGTAATGACTAAAAATCTTAAACTTACAATTTAATATGCATAATTCCTAACTTCTCAAAGTGGCTTACAACAGTAAACAGTATACTCTTTCTACAGACATGACTGGCTATACAACAGACAGGGTGGCCTGTGTAGCTGGCAGGATTGTTACGCCTGTGGTACTTTTTTTACCATTGGAACCGGCATGCGAAGCAAGCGACCAAGCCATGGTGGAGTTTTTAGAGTGGCAAAGCCATTTAACTTGCTCCTAACCATTGTAAGGTTCCCCTGTTAAAAGTACTACCGCACTTGCCCCACTAATCCTGCCACCTACACAGGCTACGAACAGAGTGTAACAGGGTGGTGAAGATGTTATGAAGACGACAAGACTAATGTACATGAATGAGCATACCACAAGACTAGTGATAGCACCTTAAAAGTTGTCATGAATTTTATGGTCTAGCATAAAACATGATATATTAGTTTTTTCAAAGTCTCTGATATGTGATTCCATAAATGCATCCATTCAAACTGAAACAAAAAATACTGTCTTTTTGATGACTATATTTATCAGGGCTGTCACTAAGATTTCAAGTTGCCTGGTAAATACAACAAGTACATGTAGGAAGGGAATCAAACAGCTAGTGATTTCTTTTGGTTCAGCGGAATTACTCTTCCTTTTTCCTATGAAAGTAGCTGGGGGCTATGTTCATAGTAGCCGGGGGAAATCCCAGGCGCCCAGCTCTTAATAACAGCCCTGCTTAAAATAGTGAGAAAGTTTTAAATCCACAACAAAACGGTTCCACTTCGAAAGGGCTAGTTTGGGACACCAACATAATGGCTGTTTCATTAGCAACCTTAAACAACAAGGAAGGCGACGGCTATGAAAACGTCACTTAAAAAGTGAACTCGCCCTGCTTCAAACTTTATTATGCTTAATCCATCTTGTTCAATTCGTTAATGTTGGCAAATTTTTCTGGAGTTGAATTCTAAAAGACTGTATCTTAGTTCAGGAAAAGGAAAAGAAAGTCGTTCTCTTGTGTTCACATCCTCAACAAAAAGTGAAATAATATTAGGCATTTTCCCGTCACAGTCCTGACGGCAAAGAAATGTACAAAAAACATGACCCATGTGCAAAATTGTTGTTTTGCCAGTCTAAGCCTATTGCATTTTTGCTGTTCCTGTTGCCATCACCATCGCCGTGGCTTAAGCTCTCTATTGTTTTGGGACACCAATATGGCAGGGGTGATGTCATGTGAAAACACTCTTTAAAGCATTATAGACAGTCAAAGGAATAGACTGAAAAACAACAGGGACAAATCTTGGGTGTCACCTTATTTAAGGTGGCTCAATACAGTTTTTTTTGAGTGAATACCTCTCACGTTTGAGTGTAAACTACGTCGCCATAAAAAAAGATTTGGAAAAATTAACAACACAGTTGAATTAGATAAAGATGAAACTTTGTTATGATCAGGGTTGCAATGACATTGTAGTTGTCGTGGCAACGAAATGACGCCATTACCTATTTTACTTGCAACAGTATTTCTCGGCACTGGGATCTGTTCTTCCAAAATCGTTTACTGGAGCTTTTTCCTACAATAGCCACCTCAATGTTAGTGAAGTTTAAGCGAAATCTGTAAGAGTGTTATCGAGATATTTTGGGAAGAAGTTTTTATGGTTAGAAATACAGTAAAAAATGGACAAACTTGATGTTCGACTGTTATCTGTACTAAACGAAGCGCTTTTGACATGCAATTTCACCTCATAGTAGTTTCAATCTTTTTAAAAACGTGTGTGAAAGATCATGGAGATACCTCCAGCCGATTGCTAGAAAGAAGGATTTGATTATTATGTATCGAGGCGCTCTTACAGCGGTAATGTAAACATTTCGGTCTACTTTAACAAATTAGCGAATAATTGGTAAACCGCTCGATAAATTTTGTAGAAAATTTAAGACTCTTGAGATAAACTGTCCTTTTATATGACCTCTTAGTTTCAAGATTATTGATATATTGTAAGGCAGTAAAATAAGGGCTACAATTCGCTAATATTTTGTTGGAAATTTTGTCTTTACAAGTGAGAGTCTCTGATTATTCAGGGGTATTGTCTCAAGGTTTTATTTTCACGTGAACAGCAGTAACTAACAATGCATTTGACATATGCAAAAATGCTAGCTATTGATGTGCACGAAAATATGAATTTTGGAGACAATACCCCTGAATAATGAGAGGCTATCACTTGTAAACACAAAACTCTTGACAAAATATTATCGAATTCAAGCCCTTATTTTACTGCCTTACAGTATATCAATAATCTTGAAACTAAGAGGTCATATAAAAGGACGGTTAGTCTCAAGATTCTTAAATTTTCTAAAAAATTTATCGTGCGGTTTAAAAATTATTCGCTAATTTGTTAAAGTAGACCGAAATGTTTACATTACTGATAAAAAGAGCGCCTTGATACATAATAATCAAATCCTTCTTTCTAGCAATCGGCTGGAGGTATCTCCATGATCTTTCACACACGTTTTTAAAAAGATTGAAACTACTATGAGGTGAAATTGCATGTCAAAAGCGCTTCGTTTAGTACAGATAACAGTCGAACATCAAG